ATAATAAAGCATAGTGAACTTTGAACATTTGTCTCGTGCATGCTCTATTACAGAGGAACGATATTCGTCGTTCTCTCTCCGCATATCTTCTACATTTTTCTTGTCTCCTTAACCTGTATCCAGCTTCCTGAGTCATTCGCTTCTCATAATAAAAAGAAGGAAATCAAAGAAATACCGTCCATTTTGAACATTGTTCTTCGAGCCGGATACGGTTGGGAGACCCACAAAGTTGTGCCGTGTTGGTTGCGCCATTAGAGTAGCACGCTCCTTTTATGCCTTTTCGGCAGCCATATTGTCTTCTTCACGCATAGTCGCGTGCGAGAGGGAGAAAGCATATTTATAGTTGAGCGACAAAAGGGCCAACGCCGCAGAGCATTCGGGGCTCTGTGTTCTCTCTCCCCCTCTCCCACTCTTTCTCCTTGTGGACTCCAAGCCTTGTTGTTTGACTCGTTTTTTCTTCCTTGTTTCTACACACATGAGGAGGTTGCGTATGCGCACTCTTCACATTAACCTTAGTTGAATGTTTCCTAAAGTCGGCGTGCGTGTCACGTAAATTTTAGCCTACGACCATCACCTCGATGCTAATCAACAACGGCCTTTCGTCCAAGCTGGTACCTGGAATTTTTGGGCACGCCATACTGCCATGTCTGGTAAGAGATGCTAGCCACGAGCCCAGCTGCCACATAGTGCTGATTGTTGATTGCTGTACATCTTCGGCTCTCCTAAGTTGCTGCAGCGTTGCATAAATATCTGACAGATAAGTACCAGTGCTCGCGAAAGGGTTGTGATTAGTGAAAATAGACAATTGACTCTTAATAATTAGTTTAGTTGTTTAAGTTTCACGTGAATTTGAAACTCAATTTTAATTATAGTATTTAGTATCCCGCTTGCAAGCTTGAGTACTCATTAAATTAATTATAATAACATACCTCTTTTAAAATATTTTGATAACTACAATTAGTTAATTATAGTTTTGTGAAATACAAACTGATGTTAGATAAATTTGAAAATTATAGATAAATCAACTTGATAGTAAATATGCCAACCCGCTTTGAAATTTGAATTGATGGACAAAATTCGATTTAGTGTGTAGACAAACCTTATTTATTTGTAAGAGTGATTGTTATCTCTCAGTTGCAGATACCTTAGTCACTGGACTTAATCATAGTTATATTCATTATCAAGTCTGGTCTGGTAAATGTACTGTATTGCATTAGTTATCGTTACTTGTATCTCATCGTTGTTTTTCGATACGCTAGTTAATTAGCCTCTTGATACTTTAACTTACCAGTTGAAGGTCTACACATACTTTGTTTGCTGAGTTACGAGCTCAAGAGTAGCTTATGGTCGTCAACTCTTTAGTCTTTGCTTCGTTGTAGTACATCCACTTATAGTACACTCGCTTATAGTCTCTTCCGCTTATAGTCTCTCCCGCTTATAATTTCTTCGCTTTAGAGTGACAGGCTCAAAACTTTTGATAGCTGTCAATCTTTTAGTTCTCGATTCAAAACAGTTTCTCCTGACTTGAGAAGTTGGTTTAAAATTGCCTCATGACCTTTCATATTGTTTTCTTGTCTTAATAGTTTCTTCGCGTAGTAAGTTGCAGGCTCAAGCATAGCCTGATAGCTACAATCTTGTTCTCATCCTGATATAGTCGTATTAGTGTAAAGTCTCTGTACATAATTATCTTAGTTTTGTAATTTCGATCTTAAAGCTAGTTCTCGACTTCTTTTGAGTGTAAATAGTTATTAATATTCGATCTGGTTGTTGGATTTCTTCCTTATCACTCTAGATAAATATCATAGTAAACAAAATTCGACCTATGAAAAAATCTGTAACTCTTTCGGTAATTTTAAAAGGAAACCAGAAAAGATGACCGCAGGTCAAGTATCTGCTTAATTAGATATGTTGAAGAACTTATTCTAGTCTGCAAGAATTATCTTAGTCTTCCTCGACCAGACCTTCCAGATTTCGACGGTTCATGCGCCAATTGGGAGTCTTTCCGCGACCTGCTTAAAGCTTTAGTTAACAACAGGGAGGAGTATTCTCCTGTAGTTAAATTCCAACATTTACGCACCCATGTCAAAGGAGATGCACTTGATCTGATTAAAAATATCAGTAAAGTTGAAGGTAACTATGTCAGAGCTTGGAATACTGTTCTTGAGCATTACAACAGTAATGAGCGCTTAGTAAATAGTTATACTAGTCAGCTGTTGTCTATCGTACCTATAAAGTTGGAATCATTTACAGAAGTAAAACGTTTAAATAAAGAGGTCTTTGGTGCGGTTGATGCTCTCTCGGCTCTTCGGCGAGATTTAGATAACGGTGACGTTATAGTCGCTTTAGCTTTCAGTAAGTTAAATTCTAATCTTTATAAGGAGTGGTTTAAACATATCGGCAGTGTGGCAGAGCCTCCAACCCTTGATCAATTAAGATCTTTCTTTCACAATCAGATACAAACTCTTGAGTCATATCAAGATCGTTCCTTTGATCGAGAACCCAAGTCTACCTTCAAATTCAAATACTCGTCTCATGCTACTGTTAATGATGAGGTTGTAAAAAATAAAAAACCTTGCCCAGTTTGTGAGGCCATTAACCCTCTCTGGAATCGTGACACTTTCCGAAGCATGACTTGGCTTGAAAAACGCGAGATTTTACAAATCCACCGTCGTTGCTTCAATTGTCTGGGTTCTCACTGGATTAAAGACTGTGGTTCTACTCAAACTTGTCAAACGTGTCAACAAAAACATCATACCCTTCTGCACAAAGAGCAAGAGGAGTCTACTAAGAGTAAAAGGGATAAAGGGATCTCTGGTAAGAAGGCCTCTCTGGCTATTACGGTGGTAAAGAAGTCTGAGTCGTCATCTGATGAGATCTCTTGTAATAATTGTGTAAATAGCTCGTTTCTCAAAACACCAACTGGTGTCTTACTAGCCACTGCCTTATTTAACGTTCACAACTCACTACCTAAATGTTTTCAAGTCAGAGCTCTGATTGATCAATGTTCACAGTGCTCAGTCATTTCGCAGTCTTTGTGTTCTTTATTAGGTTTGCGTGGCTTTAAGATTAACGTGTCCCTGACTGGGGTTGGTAGTCAGACTTCTTTAAATAGCAAAAGAAAGGTCTCACTCCTCTTGGGCTCAACTGTGGATCCAAAATTTAAATTGGAAATAGAAGCTCTGGTCCTCCCACGTGTAACTTTTTACCAGCCCCCCTACTTGTCTAACGACAAAATTGTAGAGCACTTGCACCAGTTGGTCTTAGCTGATCCACAGTTCACTAAAACTCGCAAAATAGATCTGTTACAAGGATCAACTGTTCATGCTGTTATTATCAAGGGAGAAGTTATTAAGGGAAATTCTTTCCAACCCATAGCATCTGATACACAGCTTGGATAGATCGTTTCAGGCCTGGTTGAAACTACCACTAAAAACAGTAAGAACGTGTATCACTCGTTAAAGTGTTCTGAGGATGACAAAGTTCTCGAAGTTTTGAAACGATTCTGGCAAGTTGAAGAACCCTTTACTTCTGTATTACCTCTGTCATTTGAACAGATTCAATGCGAACAACATTTTGTTGAACATCACGCTCGGAATTCTTCAGGTCGATATGTTGTTCGTTATACTTTCAAGGACCAACCACCCAAAGTAATTAAAGAAACATCCTTCAAAGCTGCCCAAGCTGTGCTCAAATAAATGGAGACTAAACTTAGTAAGAATCATAAGTTTCGCGAACTGTATGTCCAATTCATGGAAGAATATCTGGAACCAGGGCATATGGTCGAAGGATCTTTTGATAGGCTAAGTGTTTTTTACCCCATCATGGTGTTATCAAAGAGTCGAGTAGTACTACGAAATTGAGAGTGGTATTTAATGGTTCCACTCATTTTTTCTTGTGTCCCTCCTTGAATGACTACTTGCACATAGGACCTAATCTATTGGTAAATCTGGCCGATCTCATCGCTAATTGGAGAAATTATAGATATGTCTTCACAGCTGACATTGCCAAAATGTTTCGGCAAATGTCAGACCATCCAAATGATCAACTCTATCAGGCTATACTGTGGAGAGATAATCGGTCCCAACTTCTGAGTGTTTACTTTCTAACTACTGTAACTTACGGCCTAGCTAGCTCGCCTTATCTGGCTTCTCGAACTCTAAGCCAGTTAGCTTTGGATTACAAGAATGAGTACCCTTTAGCTTCCGAAACTCTTCTGAAATCCAAGTACATGGATGATATTTTATCCGGGGGTCACAGCTTGGTTGAAAGCATTCACCTTTGGGACGAATTGTTGAAATTGACTGAATCAGGAACTTTGCCTCTTCGAAAGTGGAGTGCCAATTCTCCAAATCTGCTAGATAATTTGCCACTCTCTCTGCTTGCAAGTTTATTATTGGAATTTAAAGATTCTGCTATGTCTACTTCAGTTTTGGGTCTTAGCTGGAACCTCCTTCTGGATCTTTTTCAATTTAAGGTGTTGAATGAAACTGAAGTGCCAGTAGATAATTGGACGAAAAGAAAGATTCTCTCTGAGATATCAAAACTTCATGATCCATTGGGTTGGTTAGCTCCTACTATGATTTTGGCTAAAACATTCATGCAATTTCTTTGGCTCTTGAAGCTGTCATGGGATGAACCGATTCAAGAGCTCATAGTTCAAGACTAGCTTGCCTGGTATAAGGAACTTCCTGCCTTAAATAAAGAAAAAATTCCACGCTGGAATGGTGTTATCGACGATAAGGTCAAATGGGAGTAACACTGCTTCGCCGATGCTTCTAAAACAGCGTACGCAGGGGTAATGTATTCTTGAGTAGTGAATAATAACGGTGAGGTCATTGTTGCCTTGCTCTTGTCCAAAACTAAGGTAGCACCACTTAAGACTTTGAGTATTCCTCGACTTGTATTGTCTGCTGCTCATTTGGCTGCCAAATTGGTGAATCATTATTTGAACAACAATACTCGTGTTCCTGATTCAGTCCATCTGTGGTCCGATTCTAAAGATGTCTTTTATTGGTTATAGGATGTACCGTCACGGTGGCCCATTTTTGTGGCTAATTAGTGCTCTGACATACACACCTTAGTACCCTCCGCTAACTGGCATCATATTTCGACCAAGCTCAATCCCGCAGATGTTGAACCACTTTACTCTTTGTTCAGACTAGATTTTGAAGTAGCTACTCGAATGGACGCTCACGCTTGTGTTGTGGTACAAACCAATGATAAAGTCTTTCAAAAACCGTGGTTTTTGTATCAAAGGTACTTAATTTTGAAGAAACTTTTAACTGTTTTAGCTTATGTGTTAAGATTCGTGTTCAAGTGTCGTATCAAAGCTCAAATGACAAAACTGAACGTCTTAATGTACCCTTATGACCAAGTGAATAAATTGAGTAAACTAAAATTCCTTGACATTTCGAATCACATTTAATCGTCAACTAAAATCTTAGACACTAAAAAAATAAACAATGCAACTCTTTTTTGGGTAAGCTATCATGAAGGTTTACACTTTCCAATAGAATTGCGCCTTCTTAATAGTAAGGAGTCCAAACCTTTTGTTGAGGGAATTTCCCTACCTTCTAATAATCAAATAGCCAGTTAAAAACCTGTGCTGAGCAAGGGACTTCTCCGAGTTGGTACTCGCTTGGCAGCCTCACTTTTAGATGATCAGATAAAAAATCCTCTCATTCTGGCCCAGCACGATTATTTCACCAATTTGATTATTAGATCTATCTACGAGGTCACTTTACATGGTGGCATTCAGTTGACATTGACCACATTGCGAGCTAAATATTGGATAATAAATGGTTGACAATGTGTTCGGTCCTGTATCAATAGGTGTTTGAAATGTCGTCGCTTCCAAGCCTCCAATTTAACTCAGCAGATGGGTGACCTGCCTGCTGAACGAGTAAGACCGGCTCCAGCTTTCAGTAAAGTCGGTGTGGACTATGCAGGTCCATTTGCCATCAGATTGTCTAGGACTCGAGGAAGGGGGACCACGGCGGGTTATATAGCTGTGATCATTTGTCTCAGCTCTAAGGCTCTCCATTTAGAAGTGGTCGAGGACTACACTGCTGAGTCCTTCGTTGCAGCCTTTCAACAGATGACAGCTTGGCGCGGGCATTGTTCTGATATTTTGAGCCACTGTGGCACCAATTTTGTGAAGGCTGCAAAGAAATTGGATTTAGCTCTAAAAAACCTATTGAAAGAATCTGAATAAGCTCGAAGTCTAATATCATTAGGGACTAACTGGCACTTTAACCCGCCGCATGCTCCTTACTTTGAGGGTATCTGGGAAGCAGCCGATAAGTCGGTGAAATTCCATCTTAAACAAATTGTGGGAGAACAAATCTTTACCTTTGTAGAGTTTCGCTTTTTACTTTGTAAGACTGAAGCTTGCTTAAACTCTCACCCTTTGCTTCCATTAACGTTAGATGTCACTGATTCGTTTCCTCTAACCCTGGCACACCTCTTAATCATGAGACCTACGTTTTTGTTGCCCGAGGTAGATACTACTGGTGAACGAGTTCCAACGCTTCATAAATGGAAACTTATCAGTTAACTGGCTCAATCTTTCTGGAACCGTTGGTCTACCGAATATCTGCAGAGCCTTCAAGTTCGGAAAAAGTGGCCTCACGAGAGACCTTCTGTGCAGGTTGGTGATCTTGTTCTGATAAAGAACTCCCAGTTTCCCCCGGGACAATGGCCACTAGCTTTGATCGTCAGAACTTACTTAAGTGCAGACGGTTTGATTCAAGTAGTCAAGTTGAGAACTGCAAATTCCACGTTTATCAGACCCATAGTTAAATTAGTTTTATTACTTACCAGAAAACAGTTGAGAGATTACAAACTCAAATGTGATGAGAACTATGGCTCGGTTTAAAGATTTTTTATTTACTGTCTAACTATTTTATTAATTACTTTCTTGTAAAAGGACAGCGGTTCTTAGTTAGTTTTGAAATTTTATTTCTATCCTCGTTGATACGATAAATCAAGGGGAAAGTATGTTCAGACTTGATATGGTGCGGCGCACGCGCCACACGGTGTTCGAGACACTCGTATCAACTGATGTCAGCATTAGCCAATGAGTGCTCAAGTGAGTCACGCAGGAGAGGTAAGAATAAGCCTAGAGGCGGTAGCGAAAGTAGTTTGCCCTCGTCGCTCGCACAGTGCAGTCCAGTTGCCTTTAGTGTTGTGCCTCATATAGGCATACTTTAGTTGCCATAAATTCTCGTCACGTTGTGTATCAGTCACGGTGATTTGTACTCCTCGTTCGATTCAATTCAATGAACTTCGTTAGTGCGATCTTTTCTACCGTTAACTGTTATTATTCGCGAAGATTTCTCAACTCAAATCGAGTGTTTTTTTTTTTTCATAATAAAGCATAGTGAACTTTCAACATTTGTCTCGTGCATGCTCTATTACAGAGCAACGATATTCGTCGTTCTCTCCCTGCATCTCTTCTACATTTTCCTTGTCTCCTCAACCTGTATCCAGCTCCCTGAGTCATTCGCTCGTGATAAAAAAAAATAAGAAAATCAAAGAAATACAGTCCATTTTGAACAAAACTAACACTCGAAAGGAGTGGTTGACTTACTTTAAGACTATTTACCGATTAAAAAGGTATTCTCCGTGCTGAAGGACGCATTTCAAATTTTTTCCATAAAAATCATTTACCGAATCGTGTAATTTTAGACCCAAAAGAAATGTTGTCTCAGCTGTTGTTAAATTATTATCACGAAAAGTTTTATTGTGGTAGCAGTGGAACTGTTTTGAATGATTTGCGTCAAAAATTTTAGATTCTTCGCTTGAGACAGAGTTTACAAAATTTAATAAGTAAATGCTTAATATGTAAATTTCTACGTGCACTACCAGCAATCTCTAGTATGGGAGCTTTACCTTCAGCTAGAATAGCCTTTCATTGCCGTCCGTTTTTTTATTGTTGCCTGGACTACTTTGGTCTTTTTGAAGTAAAAATAGGTCGGAATAGAGAAAAACGATAGGGTGTTCTATTAAAGTGCTTGACAACTCGAGCAGTTCACTTAGAGTTAGTTCATAGCCTCAGTACTGATTCCGCCATCATGGCATTAAAACGATTCATATTGCGTAGAGGCTCTCTAAGAAAAATTTATTCCGATAACTGTACAAATTTCAGAGGGATGAGTTCAAAGTTAAAACGAGCTATGAGTGGAATTGACAAAGATAAAGTCAATGAGTTTTCCGCAAATCATGACATTCAATTTAAATTTAACCCTATAGCCGCTCCTTATATGAGGTAAGCTTGGGAGCGTCTCGTTCGTACTGTAAAAACAGCACTTTCCTATATATTAAGAGAACTTGTACCATGTGAAGAAGTTCTGCAAACTATTTTCTGTGAAGTTGAACATTTGGTTAATTCAAGGCCATTGATTCATCGGGAAGACTTCCTATGTAACTCTGGCTGTTTGGGAGCGGGTTTTTCCGTGAAATTTTCCTTCAGTATAATTCCAGGGTTTGTTTCTTGCTCCACAGGTCTTCGGGCCTGGGTGAATGTGAAACAGTGTTAGGGCGTCAGGTAGGGTTTAGTGGATCCGATGCGCCAGGCAGGGATCACCAGCCTTACCAACTAGGAGTCGTTCCTGAAACATGGGGCTTCTCTGGGGATGCTAATTATCCTGGATCGAATGCTTCGGCAGAGAGCACCGGCTGAAGTGTCGAAGAGTGGTCGTCCTAAAATATGGAACTCTCTCCGGTAAAAGGCTACACAGTGTCGAGTGGACTTAATGCACCGTTTGTGTGGAGAGTATCAGCTTAACTGGCAAGGTGTTTTACCAGAGATACTCGCACTCTGGCCATGGATTAGATATTAAATCAGTAAAAGGATTGGAAAATAAGTTCAGAAATATACCCCCACACATAGGTGGTGCGTGGGTAGCCCTGGTGACTTGGCAAGAGCTGTCATGGTAACCAGGTAAAAAAAAAATCCATAGCGATTGTGTAATTCAGTTACGTTAAATTAAAATAAAATCCGAATGATTATAACCATGTGATTGTCCATCTTCTAATGGTATATGGTAGTTATTTAGAATTAACATGATTAGTCATAACCATTTATTTCCACCAATGTTGCTCAAATATGTTTACACCATTCTTTTTGCAAAAACCTATTCATTTTCTTTTTTACATATTTTAAGGTCTTTAATTCTTAAACAGAAAGTCAAAATTTTTCTGAGGAAGAACTACTTTTGACATTGAACTAAGCACAATTTTTTTGATTTGATTTAAAATCCCTTATTGCAGAAACATTTGTGATAGCATATACAGAGTTAATGTTAAAACCATGGTATTTGCATGGCAAATAGGCTTCGTTAAGTTTTGGAAGGGCTGGACATCCATACTCCTTAATATTTACGACTCTAAAAGTGTAGAACACACGTATGACTTGCACCTTTATTATATTCTATCATGTGTGCATATATACATACTTGCATGTAAGTATTTATTCCAGGTATTTTTTTTTTTTTTTTAAGACCCATAACAAAAACCGTTTCCACGTCAACAAGTTTAGTTTTAAATTTATTAAGTGCTCATTCAAAGGAAATGCATCCAACATTTCAGCTGACACCAAAGAAGTTGGGTATCAGTTATCAATATCAATAGAAATTTATTATTTGTAATCTTAAAACCCTGGATATCTACAATATACTCCATCACTAAGAGAGAAATATACCTTCTTCAGTCGAGAGTATACAAATAAATGAATAGAGCGTTAAAGTACCTTAAACTAAATACCCGATAAAATATCCCGATCCTTTTGTGTGAGTTGAGCATAACTCTTAACCTCCATACGTCTAAAATGTATTTTCACAGTATTCATTTTATTGACGTGAGTGTGATACTTTGAAAACCGATGGCTATGTGCACTTAGTCATAAAATGCAGGTAGCAAGTTTGTCAGACCTTGGGATATAGTATAATAAATTTTAAAACTCTGCAATCTTTAAAATGCAGTTATATTTATAATATTTCTTTATTTAAATACGACATATTTTGCAATTTATTGACAATAAATTTTAGAATTTATTTACAATTTATTTTACAATTTATTTACTACATATTTTACAATTTATTAAGAATGTTAAAATTTAAGTCATTCTAATTTTTACATGCGACATACTCTTTTTTTTTCATTTAATTTTCAACTTTTTCCTTAACCCTTTTTCTTTTTAATAAATTCTTAACTTCAACTGTTTCTGAAGATGATTCGATTTTCGGCTGCGAAGAAATGGATATGACCACAACTTCTGGTAAAGAGGTCAAATCAAGGGCTGACTGAAGTGATGTGCTGAAGTCTAGAGGTACACTTTGCAGTGAAATACTCCCAATTTCTGTTTCGAGAGAGTAAAAACTTTCAGTGTACGAAAAAGATAGAGAGACTGGTGATTCATTGCCTGAGGAACATAGATTCTCATTATCTGTTAAACAAAATAAAAAAAATTATGTTAAAAAAAAAAAGAAAAAAAATGAGAAGAAGAAACGCTTAACAAGACTAGAGAAAAGAATCAAAAGTAATTAAGCTCACTTTCTGTTGGCTGTAAGACTACCGATACATCAAGTGGAGCTGTTTGCTCCATAATATGCTCTGATGCTGTTGATACTCGAAGAGCATTCAAACTCTCCGTGTACGAAAGAGTTGGGAAGATCGGTGATTTTCGAACTAAATCGGTTTCACCACTTGAGGAACATGAATTGTTGTGCATTGGTATTAGACAACAAGTAAACAATAAGCTGTTAAACAAAAGGTAAAAAATAATTTCGAAAAGAACGAAAAGAAAAGAAATAAGAAGAAAAAACGTTTAGAAAAACTGGAGAAAATAATTAAAAGTAATTAAACTCACCTTCAAATTTAAAATTTTTTACATTGGCAATGGTAGTTTTGGTTTCTGCCAGCTGTAAAACTACCAACAGATCAAGTGGAGCTGTTGACTCTGTAATATATTCTGCTGCTGTGGCTGCTCGAATAGCATCAAAACTCTTAGTGTACGAAAGAGTTGGTGAGGAGATCGGTGACTCTCAAACTACATCGATGTCACCGACTCTAGAACATGGTCTCGAAATATGATTTTCGAAATAATCTACATAGTGTCAAACAAAATTAAATATTTTTAAAAAAATAATGTTAAAGAAAAAAAAAAGAAGAAGGAACATTAGAAAAAAAGGAGAAAGTTATTAAAAGTATTTA